TGCAAATCACTGCACATTTTCTCAAATTGAAGCTTTTACAATATTTCGCGGCGCCCCTGTAAAAAGGCCGTGGCTCCCCGGAGCGCCGCGGCGCACAGTTTGGGAATCACTGACCTATAGACTAGAAACCAACTTATATCAAAAGTAAATAAAAATTATATATTGCATTAGCAAATGCACATTTGCTCATTCAACAATCCCACTATAAATTGGATGTTGTAATAGTCTAGTTTGCCTCGGGTGTCACATCTGATTCATGACCCAGTGGCCATTTATGACCCGGTAGTAAATTCCATCAGGGGCGCTTAGAAGACGAGGCAAGGCTAGGTGGAATTCGATGGTGTCCGAGGCCTACACATCTGGTCATGAGAAAACTCAACGAGCCGGGCTTATTCAAGAATTATGGATAATCTCGAAAGCAATGTATAACGAAGAATGGTAGGTGGACAGAAGGATAGAATAAATGGATAGGTGGATAATTCGAGAGACAAAGTGATAGGAATATGATAAGTTAGATAAAAAGAAAAATTGGTAAGCATAACGATTATAGACTATTGATTAGGCATATACATTGACCGAGTTAGCGACCAAAGAGTTGTTCCTACGCCCAGTTTTGGCATAAGTGTGTCTGAGACCTGCATACCTTTGCTTTTACGGAGACGTCAGTACCGGTTACTTCAGAATGTGCTTCTTGACTGCTAATAGGCCGAGGAGGCTGGGGAACTCGGATTGAAGATGCCGCCTGCTTTTCTAACTGGCCAACGGAGGCAGAGCCGACGGAGCGCAGCTCTTGACGTAGGGCCTCGATCGTTTCGCGTTCCATCTGTAGTGCAGACTGGTGTATTGGGGACGGTCGTAAGAGAAAAACAATAGATGAGGAAGATATCTCAAAATAAGTAGCCCAAATAAGTCACAAAAGTACGATATGACCATAAAGCATATTAGCTAATATTTGGCTACTAGATGGGTGAAAATCAATCGAATAGTGAGGGAAACTCGTAACATTTAGGAAAAAAATCCGTCCTTAACTAACCTGTGCGACCAAGGGTGATAAGAAAATTGGTTTGGAAAACTTCCTTAGTGATATATTGTTACATGAATTCTCAGTTCAAAAAAAAAGTTGATTAGAGTGAATTAGTAATGTGGTCTTACTGAAG